CCCTCAGACAGATATCCCACGTGTATCTTTCCCTTTATTGATTAACCATTAGCAAATCCTTCCCATAAGAAGGCAGCCGTCGTAGTTCTTACCATATTTTTATTAAACAAAGAAATAAATTGAAATACAATTGAAATAAAAGATGAAGAAAATTTAAATTGAATAAATCTGAAACTTAATAACTTCCAACTTATCTTGAAATCAGTTTTTTTCCGCTTCAGGATTATTCCAAAGTAAATACTAATTTATGATAGTAACAAGTGATCTCAGGATAATGTCTGAAAAAATAAATGAACTGCAAAATCACCGGACCCGCAGATTAGCATTTCAGTAACTATATTCATTGATAGATTATATTATTTAAAATTACTCCTATACTCAAAAGATTTCCCTAAGGAAAAATAATTGTAAGAGAACAGATGCACCAATCGTTTCATTAAATGACAGAAAATCCCACAGTATATTACAAATCAATATTTTCTGTTCTGTGAGAAAATTCATTACTGGCCTAGCCCACCAGCGGCCGAGCGGTAAAGTCGCTGAACACTGGTAGTTCGGTCCGAGGTTCGAATCCCGCGAACGGGCTGGCTGCATGGGCGTTTTTGTGGTTTTCCCCATGTGTAACGTGTATACGAGCCAGTTTCCCTTAGAAAGTCCTCCATGAAGGCATCCCTCCTCTTAGGCAGATAGTCCTCGAGGCTTTGCCATAATCACACACACATTACTGGCCTAACTCTGGCATTGGCGATATTTCAGTGCATGTAGTAGAAGTACAGCACTCAAATGCTATCTTCAAGAGAGCGGACGCTTTCGGGGTGGATTTTCTCAAGAAAACATATTTCAATTGAAGTTACACATTAAGAAATCTCAAAAGACACCCATGCAATCTGTTCTTTCGTAGGATTCGAACTCAGATAGAGCAATCATGTTTAGAATTGACGAGTTTCTGAACTCGGTTGGTTTGGTTAATTTCATTACGGCAAAGCACCGTATGAGTTAACTTAAGGAAGGGATGCCTTCGTTTAGGGTTTTCAAAGGAAACCTGGCTCATACCAACATTACACATGGGAAAAAGCCATGCAGCTGGCCTGTTCCCCGAGATTCGAATTACTAGCTTTATCCGTCTTATCCACTTAGCTAAAAATTTTCCAAAAGGAATTCTTAGTAACTTCATGTTTTTACAAGTTGTAATTGTTTGTTAAAATACTTGTGCATTTAAACTTTAATTTAGAAATACTTTTTCTAACTTCGCCATAGAGCTATTAGTTTAATTCATTTAAGGTGATATTTATAATAAAAATGTAGTTTTTTAATTAGCTAATAGCGCAACCACCTTGGCGTCATTTGGCAATTTTTAACAGATGAAAAAGCATAATGATACAAGGCATCATTCAATTCAATTGCGAAAATTTATTATATACCATAAGTATTATTATCTATATATTTTATATTCTAACTAATTTACACCTAAATGAATCAGTAAAACTTACTTACAAGCTGGTTTTTATTTCTCTTCTTCTTATGATAGCTTTTAATAACAGTTTTTTTTAGCATTCCTTTCGCAAAATTTGCGACAAAATTCTGTATTTCTTCAGAAATTTTATCGCATTTAATTCCATTGCTGGCAAATTCCACAAGTACATTAAAATTGGGCTTAAGGCAAAAAAATCACGGTTTATCTTTGAAAACCGTTGACTGATGGATTATAAAGAATGATCATGTGTATGGTTGCCAGAGTCTGGGCTATTCTGAAAATTTGGGGTCTTCTCTTAAAGTAATTGCGATAATACGTAAAAACCCTTTTTATTACATTTTACCTTTTAGTTCACTCATGGTGTTTCAGGGGCGACCGGGGGATGGTTGCATGGGTGTTTTCGTGGTTTTCTTCATGTATAACCTATACCAATTTCCTTCAGACGGTCCTCCACGAATGCATCCCTCCTCTTAGGCAGATAGCCGTCGAGTGCTTTGCCATAATTGAATAAACCAACCATGGTATTTCACCATCAATTTTTAATAAACTTCCAGATAAGCTGTTATAAACTTCAGCTTTTTTACGCACACAGTTTGTGACAATGCAGTGTGGAGAAGCGATATTTTCAAAATTCGATTGTAATGTTTAAACGATTTTTCGCACATATCTTTCTTTAGCAAATGAACTAAAAATCTTTGAAATTTACTGTTTGTATAAAAAGATAGAATGAGAAAAAAAACTCTTAATAGGAGTTTATTTGAAATTTTTAACGTAACTTCTCATTTTTGGGGCATTTTCGGTAATCGCTCGATTTTTTTTTCTGCCATTTTACATAGCGGAATTGTTAAAAATAAAAGAGTGATTTTCAGTGTTTAATAACGGTTCTTCAATCAATTAATTTAATTGATAACGTGTAATTAAGACTAAAAGGAAAAAATGATTTAAAACAAATAGGTTTTATTTAAAACCCATAAAATAATTAGTGAACTAAAAGGAGAAGAATAACATACAGTTTAAAAAATTTTTATACAATAAGTTTTTATTAAATTGGATTATGATACTTAATCCACTGAAAAAAAGAAAAATAATTTATCATGTGGTTTAATGGGAATAATTAATTAAATAATTCTATTTACAGAATTCAGCTACAATTTTATATGGCGAATAATAAAAGCGTGAGGCCCCTAATTAAGGAAATTTATTAATTTAATTACATTGTGAAATATATAAAACTTTATCATTTTCACCATGGATGTCCTATTCTTTTATTATTCGTGATATACAATTGTAGATAAATTTTGTAAAGATAATTATTTAGTTCCTTGTTCCAATGAAAGTGCATTATAAAGTATTTTTCTCCTCTTAGTTTAGGAATTAATAAATTTTAAATGAAAGCTTATTTTTTTAAATCTTTTTCTAAATTACCAGATTTATATTAATTCCTTTGTGTCATATAAAATGAAAGATTAATTCCTGGGATATAAACTCGAATCGAATTACTAATGTTCAATGATCTGATTTATTAAAGCACTGGTGACTAAAAAAATTTTAAGGAGGGAATCTGTAGCGTATTATGGAATATTATCAATCTTTATTTTTAATTTCTCGTTTTAAAATTTTTAAAATACCCGTGCCTTTATTTATAATGCATATTGCAGTATCATCCTGCACGCTACATACTACTACGCAAAAACGTACTTCATACTCACAATGTTCATAGTCTTCTGCGACCAACTCGGATTTCAACTTCAATTACTTAAATTGAGCTCGCACATGAGCATTTTAGTATTATTCGTATTTAATAAATTTATTTTTTGTTCGCGTTATAATAAAATTTGGTTTATTTGATCTGTTATGAAAATGTTAAAACAGAAATTTTGATTTATTAAAAATATGTTAAAAACATTTTTGTCAAAACTGATGTGTACAAAAATAAGCCATTTCCTTCTTTTATGAAAAATAGATTAGTAACTTATTTACCAAAATTATTATTATTCAAGTTAGTTCGCATAAGCAGAACTCTATTACATTACGTGATATCTAGAAACGACTGTAATGGAACGAAAAATTGATAAAGTCACATGTCCATTCAACTGAACAATTCTTCATTGCAATTATAGTTCACTGCAGCCAAATTAACGTTAAGTTTTTTTTAACAGCTAAAATTCAACTTACGCACGTGCATTTTAATTCCCGCTATTTACCGCGCTGAAGTTATTTTGGAGCTATCATGTCTCAAAACTCAGAAGTAAACCTAACTGTAACTTTCACCTTTTAATATTTTTCCTTTCGTACGTTAACGTTTAAGAATTTATCTTCTTTTATAGTGCTACGTTATGATTTATTTAATCATAAATTATAATAATGTAATTAATATTAAAGTGAGACTATTTATTAAGCAGCAGTTTTGACTCGCTTTTATTATACTATTTTTGTTAATAATAATTATTAAAGGTAAGACTTTGATTACTAATTGATTAGATTGCATCGTAAATATAATAGCCTACAATTTTACTATAAATCAATGTCGTAACAAAAATGATTAATTAACTATCTAGATGCATGTTCTTAATTTAAATTTTTTATTATCACGTAAATAAAATTTAGAAATTTAATTATTTGCAACAAAATTTTGAAAAATTTTTGTACGTATTTAAATATCTGCATAAATATAACTTATTTGACGTTACCAGATTTAAACGACTTCAAGTAAATTTCATCAAACTGAAAAACGTTAGTTCTAGTTATTTATAATTTGAAGATCAGATTTTATCTTCTCTGTTTATTTTCAGATTATTGGCTTTAGATGAGTAGGAGAATTGTCAATAAAAATTTATTGATGTTACTTGTCAGACAAAATTCAAAATTGCTTCTAAATCTAAGCTATAGTATAAGTATGAATATTATTTTGTGTATTAATTTAATTTAATCTTCACAACTATTTTTGTTAAACTTTTCTGTAAAACCAATTCATGCTACTTAAGTATTATCGCAACCACCTTAGCAGAAATTATTAAAATGCAAGAATGCGGGGGGCCAATCTCTGATAATCACGTGGTTAACAAACATGATCAAAAACCACCTACATCTGTAACTACCACATGATTACTGTACAAATACTTGCATAGTTAAGAAATCAAAAAATTATTTCAATTTTTAAATGTTTATGTAAAAATTAATAATTATTTTACCTGTCCCCTACTTTCAGAGTTCTTTCAGAAAATTACCTTAAAATAATCTATAAATAAGAATGCCAAGTTCTTTCAATTATAATGAGAAATCAAATCTGAACTATATTCTTTATCAAGATATTCAAGTCATTATAAAATAAAAATGAGACAAGAATCAAGAGAAAGACAATCACTTTTTTAGAATAATTTTTCAGAACTCAACATATTGATTAATACCTTCCTGACATTTTGCCAAAACAAGGCAAAATTTTTTCTGCATGAAAGTTATAAATTGTGACAAATTGCTTGCAAATATTTCTAGCCCAGCAGTTTCCAAGTTTTTTTTTTTTCCCCTATCATGCACCCCTTTCACCACTGCTAGATGATGCTCCTTTCTTTCCCAAACTTAGAAAATATACATACATTTATTTAAATTTAGATTATTTTAAAATATGTTTTCTAAATTAAACAAGGAAAAGTATAGAAAATAATGATAAATACCTAAACTTGAATAAAGGTAGTTTATATATATATATATATATTGTTTCATGAGAATAAATTGAATTTAATTAAAAAATTAAATTTAAATACAAATTTAATTAAATATTCTTTGTGCCATTGCTGCAAGGAATGAAATTTAAATTTAAACAAATTAAAATTTTATATATAGTCATGAACTAAAAACTAAATGCTTAACAGTTAAATCTGACTTACCACCTGAAACTATTAAATTCTTTCCTGGTTGAGAAACCCACTTTTAGCAGGATTCCATAAAATTATATCATTATTTATTTCAGGAAATTTATCACATGTTTTAGAATTAATGATTAAATATGAATACAACTACGGCACATATATATGTAAAATATAAACTATGAAAATAAATCTGATATGTAAAATATAAAAATAAATCTAATATGTAAAATCTAAAATAAAAAAATAGATCTCTAATAAATTACTAACTTGACTAGTAATGGCGCTTTAAATTTCTTTAGATTTTTATATGCCCCCTCCTCCTCGCATTTGCAGTGCATCAAAATTTCTCTCAACTGCATTAATTTTAGATCAATGCACTGATATAACTAATGCGGAACCTAAACCGAAACTTTAACATGACTAATTTAGAACTTGAATTCAAAATTTCAAGAATTGAAACCAAGGTTGCCATATTGAATAACTTTGGAATTTTGCTTCTACTGTTGTTAAGATACTATTTTGCTCACTGACACTTAGACATCTCTCTTAGCTTCGCTAGCTATTGCCCATTATTTAAAAAATATAATCTGTATAAAATTGTGGAGTGCATAGCGGTTCCACAATGATGACGTGCAATGAAAGAATTACTTTTCAAGGAGTAAAATTACATGTGGAATTTACGACTGCATCTGTCTTCAAGTGTTATCTTTCTAACTAGAAAGTAAAAGCTTCCCAAGTTGCATATATGTATGTAATAAAATGACTTGGAGTAAGCTGCAATGGACCGACAATCGTTCTCTGCAATATGACCTGGATAGACTTTATTGCATAGTTAGAAAGATGACACTCAAGCCCCGTTCACATGAAACCCTCTTTCGCACAGCTAGCATTTATATTAGGAACAAATGGGGATATGAAGTAGTTTCGCCTTCAGGACCGGTTCAGATGCACATCGTCTTTCATCCCTTAATCCATAAGCCACTGCGAGCAATGAATGACGTCACAAGCGCGAATCAGATTGGTGGATTTCTAATGTTTACTTACATCTTTTTTGACATTGTTTACTATGGCTATAGAATGCCATCGGAGTTTAAAATCTTTAATTAATTAAAATACACCTAAATTAATTTAAAATGCAATTTATATATGAGACCAAATGATTAAAAGAAGAAAAGAAACCACATGTGCTGCTGAGTGATTTTAAATAAAATGTTTTGTAGCTGCTAAAATTTCAAACTTTGCTTTTTGAAAAAATGAATAAAACAACAAATTAATAGCATTAATATTAATTATAAATGTTTTAATATTAATTATAAACGTTTTAGAAAATATATTATAATTAATTCATCTGTTAAAATTGCTTTGAACGTGTTTTACAAAGATTTTTAATAAAAGCTTGTAATTTGTGTTTATATTAACCAATTGAATGGCACTAGATTTTATTTTTTATATATGTAATGAAATTCAGCAATAAAATTTTTAAGAAATTTGAAATGATTAAATGACCATATAGACAGCTCATATTCTTTAAACTGCATTTTCTCAGTTTGCTTTTTTGATAAATTCTTTTATTTAAAGTCCTAAACGTATATTAGATATGGCCTAAATTATTTAATATTTTTACCGCTTGATTAAAATTATATGTTATAGAAGAAGAATCGGTTTTGCAAATACTGAAAAGAAACATTTTTTGAAATGGAAATGTAATTGAGATGATTTTTGTTTCAAAGTTTTTGCATAAAAATGTGATTTTTATTTTTTTTTTCTCAGAGACTAATTCATTAATTTCAAAATCGATCCTTAAAGTATTAAGAACTTTCTAATAAATACAATAAGAAAACGGGGGGAAGATCATTGAAAATTGCGAGAAAAGAATGACATTTTTATTGTTAAAACTTTTCCAAAAATTTAAATTTAAAAAAAATACTGGCAAAACTTTTTTTTTAATTTAAAATTATTTTGTCTCATAAAATCATTTAATAAAATTTCATTAAACTAGATGAAAGTTATTTAAAAAAAATCATTTAAAAGGTACCAAGTTCCCTTGTCGAGTTTAAGCTGATATGTGCATCTTTAGTTTTAATTTGAACAGTTTTGGATGATATCGCGTTCTCAGATATCTACCAATGCCATTGTTTCGCTAACGGTCCAGCGAACAGTCATTAAGTGAACCGCACAATCACGCTGTGCAGTATGGGAAATCTACCCATCTGCCCTGCTCCCAAAAGGTAGGAACGAACGTTCTACCTCCAATTCAGAGAAGCAGTTAACGCTTGTTGCCGTGTGAACGGGACACATTGGAAGAACCAGTTTTCGCTACCGGTGAATCTGCTCTTGTGAATGGGGCTTCAGATGAGAGACTTGTAAACAGACGTGACCGAATTAAATACAATTTTTATTTCTGGGCATGAACTAAATATCGAAAATGTATTTATCATCACACATGATCATGGGCATAATATACATCCCATAATTTTATACAGAGTATCACATTTTAAATAACGAAGTAGTTAGCAGCAAGACAAAGCAAAGGGAGTGAGGTAACATTTTCACTGCAAGACAGCTGAAGCAAAAATGCACAATTATCTAATACAGAGGCTTACCAAGAAAAGGTTGTGATTTAGGTTAGAAAGGTTTCAGTTATCAACATTTTGAGTTCAAGTTCTGAATTAGCTATATCATCAACATTACACAAGCTATGTTACATAGAATGATTTAGAAATGACGCAGTCCAAAAAAGTTATCACTTCTTTTAAAATAGAGTAACAAAATACCCAAATTAAAAATGAGGAATTAAAAGTCTATTACTAAATTAAATTATAAAGCTGATTTACATATTTTTATCTTACATATGCATAAGATTGAGAATATGTAAATCAAAATTATAACCTAAATTTAGCAATAGCCCTACAATTCTTCATTTTAATTTGTGCATCTCCCTTTCTATTTTAAAAGTAGCAATTGTTTATAATAACTTTCTGGATTGGGACTTTTCAAAATTAATCCATTTCTAAATTAATGCTAATTTATATAATCCTGCAATGCAGATAGCTCTTATCCACACCAATTAAAGAACCTTTTAATTATTTTTATTGTTCATTGTCTGAAAATGTAAACTATACAAAAATGTAGGTTACATATAGCACTCATAATGATGTATGAATGAGAATGTGTATTGAGAATTAAGTGTCCAGCAATAAATCAAGTCTTTCTTCATGTCTGTCTGTGAATGTCATCTCATGTACCTAAAGGGCACGACTATCTGCTAGTCTCTCCTTCGTTTTATATAATATAAAAATTTATATCAAGTCTGAACATGAAGAAAAGTACTTCAAATAAAGAATTTTCTAATATAAATCAAAGCAAACCTGAAAAGTTAAACAACTTTTTAAAGACTCTGGAGTTTTAAATTTATTGTATTCCTAACAACTATCATTTGTGTATCTTAATTATCAAGCAGAACTTATCAAAAGTTTCATTCTGATAATCACACCCAAAAAAAATTTCTTCCTAGGGTTAACAGACAAAATTTATTTCTGTTATAATAAAGCAATTTAAGTTGAAGAATTAATAATATTTACAAGTTATTTTAAAGGGCACTTTTAGTTATCATTCAAATTACACACAATTAGAAATGTCACTAGAAGATAGGATGAATCATCCTTTAATGTAATAATGGGAACTGCGCTAAATGCAGCAACATATATGAGGCATTCTTCAAAATCTAATATCTATGAGCATGCCTTAACATTTCTTGGAAGGTGTCCATTTATGCAGTAACTTTTAATGCATGTCATTTGTACAGTATATAATGGATGAGATCATCAAAATGAGATTTGTTTCAAACTAGGTAAAATCCAATCTGAAGATCTGCACATTAGTGGTTTTTGTGAGGAAGCCCCAATTTTCAGTTAGATTTCCATTGCATAATACTGAAAACGGCATACAGGAATGCAGCTGTAACTTAAAACACAATATACTAATACTTTAAATATTTCCACAACGGGTGGGAAACCATCAAATAAACACACCAGACTGAGAAACTGATGATGTACATAATGGAAAAAACACTGATACAATTCATGAGCTACTAATGCAAGATTGGCATTTCATCATCTGGATGATGATAGAAAAATTGGATATTCCTCTTAAGATCACTAGTGCCCTACTGTTGCCCAGAATTTGAGTAAATGCAAAATCTCCCCACCATCAACCAACCAAAGAGAAAACAACAGAAAATGAAATTGTGCGGCAATTCATCAGCATGCCAGATTACAATGTGCAATTTTTACATTCTATAGTACAAAGTTTCTAGTATAACAATTGTACAGTACAACAAAAGTTTTCAGTCCAAACAATAATTTTTTCCAGTACAATCTGGAAACTAAGCACCAAAGCATGGAGTGACACAGTCTCTCATCCTCAAAACTGAAACAGTTTAGTTCTCAGATGTGGAAGGTAAAGACAATGTTGATTACTTTCTTTGATGCATAATGGCCTAGCCCTTTAAGAATTTGTACTGGAAGGGTAAACAGAAGTTTTTAGTGTGAACTTCTCAGTTGGCTCTTAGATCATATTCGTTGTGTATGGCCACCATTTTTTAACAAAGATTTCAGTTTCTTTTGTTCATCAACACATACCTCATGTTGCAGCTCATGTGAAGCAGGTTCTAACTAAATGCAGCCTACTGAGTTCCCTCTCTGTATTCTCCAAATGGAGTCCCATCAAATTTACTTCCAAAAGTGAAATCTACTCTGAAAGGGTACAGATCTTCTGACATTTAACAGGCCCACCAGCAGCTGAGCTATAAAATCACTGAACACTTGTGGTTTGGTCCAAGGTTCGAATCCCATGAACATGTAGTTTCCCCATGTGTAACATATACATGAGCCAGTTTCCCTTAGAAAGTCCTTCACGAAGGCATCCCTTTTCTTATGCAGATAGCCCTCGAGGTTTTGTTGATCTAATGGGTTTTAAAACAGGGAACTATAGCCTATACAGATGGAGGATATTTCTCCAGATGTTTCCAACAGTTATGCAAACACTGTCATAAGTGTATTTTATTATAGGATGATGACCAATGATGTATGTATGCACAAATATTTTACACTGTCAGTCATCATTCACTGGACTTTTCAGTCACACTTTTTAGCTATGAAAAATTGTATTAAAGGTTAACACAAAACTACCATTTCTTTTCATATAAATGTTAAATAAATATTTTTAATTTTATCAGAATTGCAATTATTAATAAAAGCATCTCCAGGATGATAACAAATGCTACTTAAAAATCCTTAATATGCAACATGAAGTTATTTGTAAAAATTATTTTCATTCATGCAAAATAAAACTTAATATTTCAAATATGTAACAGAAAGAATTACTTTTAATACAATTACCAATAATTACTTTGAATATTCCAAAAAATACAGTACAAAGTCCAAGATGGGGACTCATTGGGACTTCAGCTATTCCAGATATTACATAATCGGTTTTAATCTACCAAGATGAAGAAATTATAAAATTAAAATATGAAGTAATGGTTTATGAAATAATGAAGCATTTATATGCTATATAATGCATTAAGCACTTAAGCATTTAAGGGTATCAAAATTTACAAAATATGCTCAATATTTATTTATTTGCTTTATTAAATATTAATTTCTTCCAAATTAAGTTGTTGTTTGCTTAATGTTTCATGGTAATATTTCTCTTTAGTTTTACAGATAGACAAAATTTCTTGTTCAGCTGCAAAGTTCAATGTTCAAGTCCTGTTATTGTTGTGTCAAGAATTCCCATAAATTGTCAATTGAAATTTTTCATTCTCAACAACCTGTCACTTTCTTCACTATTGGTAGCAATATTTCCTGGATTTAGAACCAATCATATTACAGATTCCACCGTCATTTCGTGATTTAGTCGATTGATGATTGTAGCACAGTCATCGCATCAAGAAACATGTGTTACATCATTTTCACTTATTAGCACTTCTCCGCATTTCTTCACAAGTTCCATTAATTGAAAAATGTTGCCTTTTGTTTGCAATATCCAGAAACCTTCAAATTTATGGTATTTATGGCTATATCATCATAACGCTTAGCTAGCTTCTGCTGTACACTATTGACAATGTATCATGAGATGGTGACTAGAGACATGTTGTTCACTAAATTTTCTCTTACTTCTATTATATCTTTCTTCTATTGCTATCTACTGAGGAAGTTAGGCTGGAATTATGAGCATTAGCTTCATTACTTATTATACTTACCTCTATTTCCCACATATGCTTGATGCTTATCTGAGTCATCAATAAATAAATTCACACCTATACTTACGACTTACCTGAACAACAAATCCGTTATTATTAATTCAAACAGCACAAAATGTTATCTTTTGGCCTATGACTATCAATTACAAAAACCTGTTATTTTGCACACAGAAAGAATTTTTTGTTAAATTTCTCCTTGTAAACATTTAATAGCATGTAATCATCGCCAAGTGTAATGTTAACATAAAAGGTTACCATGCTCTTTGGTATTCAATCCCTAACATTTTTTTTTAAATGTTTATACATCTCTGCATAAGTTATTTCTCAAGCTGCCATGCGGTGATGAAAGCAGAAAATAATAAAAAATTATTTGCCAGGTTGGTATCAGGGAAAAACTTAATTATTCAATTACTCTAAACTCGTTCCCATGTAAGATGATTCGGTTTGAGATGTATGCCAAGCAAAGATGCAGCTACAGAATTAAATTATTGACCATATAGATTTATGCTAATAAATGATTTTTTTCTTTGGCACAGAGGCATTTTATTTAGTGCCAAAGTGAAATTAATAATTAGGATTCTCCAAATGTTTTATTATGAACAAATACCAAATGCACATGCATAAAGCATACAAAAGAATTCTTAAAAAAAAAAAAGTTGCTGGTGGACCAGAGGTGTGGATTTTAGATCATTCTGGATAGTGGATGTCAGGATTTTGGACTTTGTACTGTAGTTTTTCTGCTTACAACAAATAAATAAAATGAAAATAAAACATTTTCGGACAGAAACATACCACAAATAAAAAATTTTGTTAAAATTTTAATACTATTAATTTGAGATAAACATATAAAATGCATACTTTAAATGATGAAAATCATGAGCTTCTGGAGATGGGAAGAAAGGAAAGTGGAAGCCAGAATGTGCATTTAAGGTTGACAAGATAGCAATAGCAAACCATAACCATGAGGTAGCAGTGTGGCTACCTAATACCAATGGCCCAAGTAATGGTGGCACTAAATTGGAAAAAATATGCTCTACAGGATGACAATAAATAGCTGTAATAGCAATAGGAGAAGTCCATTCATGGTGACGCTTGTGAATATACTTGTAAATTCGAGGATGATGTAAAAGTCTAGAGAAAAAGTTTCACAGTAAGTAAATTAAATTGTTATGACTAAGAATAAAAATGAACATCACATATTCATCTATCAAATTATACAATATTTTCCAGATGAAAATTACATAAAGACACCCATTAACAACTGGAATGACAATGTTGCAAGCTATCATTTTGTGATTGTGGATTGCACCATTAGGCCTTATTAACTTACGATTTTACATACCTATCTGCCAAGTAGCACCAATTTGAGAACAGAGGTTTTTCCTTGGGGATGAGCTGTGTGTGTTCCTTGACAGCATGTTGCCATTTTTATGACAGCGACCAAAAAGAGTATAGAGTGTGCATGAAATTACCATTGTTATATACTATCACACCTTTAATTTCCTTTAATGTAAAAAACATGTGAATGACTTGTTTTCCAGGTTCAGAAATGGCATCATATTAAATGAAGACTGCTAAAATTTGGATATCTAGTGATGAACAGAAACAAAAAATATTGAGAAACTGTAATGGGCTACTAATGAAGATACTGAAAGACCAAAGACTAAAGAAACTCTCTATCTGAGAATTTTTGAGGAAGAATAATATGGTGCTCTCACTCACAGTACTCACCAAATCCTTTTTTGCTCAGTGCAACATCTTTTTTAGCAGATAACAAAAGCTCTCAAAAGATAATTCAATAGGTAAAAGGCAATTCAGTGACACAGATGAGATGTTAAAAATTATGTTGCTTGCCTTTTAATATTCCATATTATGAGTTCCAGGACTTTTTCCATGTCTTGAGTAGTGGTTAAAACATTGGGAAAAATGCTTCTTTTCTTGAAGACTCCGAAGAAGCTAAAATACATAGGTGTGAGACACAACACAGTTGCTCAAAAATAATTCCAGTCATTTTTGGGGTATTAGATTGTAAATTAAAAGTTATGTTTAATGTATCCCTAAAACTATTGAAGTACTGACAAAAATTAGTGGTAGAGAAAAGTGGTACAAGGCACTTCGATTCCATCTCTTAAAGTGTTTTCAGAGTCATTGCTCATTTTTCTTAAATTAAATAACACAATCCTTTACACTCATAAGAGAAATAAACAATAGGATTCAATAATCCATGACTGCTTAACTTGCAAATGCCTGTACTCTGTGATTATTTTCTGATGTAACTAAATGAAATGTTCATTTTTAGAAAATTTAGCATGGTAAATTCAATGGCAATTATTTATTAAACAAATAAACCCTTTAACAAAAGTACATTACAGTAACTGCCAACTTACATAAAATGCGACTTCCATAAATTCCCAATTATGTATGCACACAAAAATCATAACATTCTAACTGAAACTTACCAATTCAAAATAGGGTCTCTGTAAATAATTTTTCCTTTCTTGATCCATATTTTTGGCATTTAAACAATATTCAAACAGTTAATTTATAAAATACTATGTAATTATTGCACTTTCTTATGAATTTACACTTATGCAACTTCCATATTCAAGTTATGTAAAGGTTTTACAGTAGGGATTGATCACTACTGGACCACACAGAAAATTTTCTAATCTCTGTGTGGTCTGCCACATACTCGGGTCACCACTGGAGGGGGGGGGGTCACTACTGTGGGTAACTGCTCTGTTGAGTGGCAGCAGGTAGCGCATCTGACTCCTTATTATGATTGGTATACTGTGAGGTTGGGTAATTCTTACTGCATTTTAAACTCAAAACATATTTACTACAATTATGAAAAGCTCTTTACAAATATATATATAATTTATGGATAGTATCGACAGTTATTGAAATAGCGTGAGGAGCCTGCTAACGAAGGTCTCTCTAAATGAGAGCTCAATAACATTCTAGGTCTCCCTGTTTAACAGTTCAGGGGCCTTCTGTGGAAAAAATTCCAATGGAAAAAATCCAATTTGTTCCAATGGAAAAAATCTTTAGACTGATTTTGCCAAGCCTCTTTAATTTTTCTGTTGTATTTCACATCCTCTGATTCGTTATAGCTGGAATGATATCAAGGAAAAACAAAATCATTGGTTCATCAGCCCTAATAAAATCGAGAGGTTTTGACGACAGCCATGGTGCAGAAGGCTAACATTTCTTGACACTAGTCGTGAAGTTATGTCTCTTGCACTGTCAACTGGAGAGAATTACTACATCTGCAGTGTCAGACTGTGTTGTCTGGCACATCATAAAAGCTTGGAAACAATCACTTGCGGGGACAGCACATATGATTTTCTCACCTCTGTGTGGTCTACCACAATGGAAAGCATTATTTACATAACTCGAGTTACAGTAGATTTATATCATACTTTGATTGAAGGAATTCATTCACTTAATTATATAATTTATTTTGCATATTATGTACACACATTAGTACTCTCTATTTATAGTAAATATGGATTTTGAATCCCTGCAAACTTTTTGTTTCAGATAAATAATTACTTTCAGGTGCATATTTCACTGTCTTTCAAAATTAATTTTGAGCTCAGGTTGTTAACATGTGTAAATGATGTATTCATCTATAGCTTTCAGACATCAGTCCCACTAGGTATTTAGTTTGTTTGTATACTGTGCAATGAATAAGTCTATTTCATATATATGCAAAATGAATGAAATTAAAAGAAATGCATGCAAAATGAGTGAAATTTGGAAAGGAAAAAGGCTGCAAGCAGGAAAATGTGCATGAATGTATTATTTATATGTATGTGTATGATGAATCTACTTAAAATGATTAGTACCCTGTACTTAAACTAAAAACAATTTTGTAGTATAATTCATGAATGGAATAACAGTCTGATAATTTATCTAAAAACATAAAAGTTTTATTTTAAACTTTACCAAACACAAAAATTTTATTATAAAAATATCGTGTAATATTATATTTTTGCAACAGAAAATAATTTGAACAACTGGTATCATTCAAGTAAAATTTTGGCTTGCAATAAAATACTTATCTTAATTTATTCTATTGATTAATAAAAATTTAGAATCCATTTTATAATAAGACACTGAATATTAATATAACACAAACCTGTGAGAATAGTAAAAGCCAGCTTCTTCCATCAGCACACAAAATATAAGCTCAAATAATACCCACTGAAATGTAGGCAAGGTTTTTTCAGAATTATATCCTCTCCATACCATTAGATAGTATGCAAATATACCAAAGGGAATTCCTATCAGGATTTGGTTAATTAGCACCTGATGAACAACTCTCAAAACTTGGTTAAGGGAGACCTGCAGAAAGAGAAGTAGAAATTATTGACATAAGTGAATTGAAACTGATCTAAGTAACATATTTAGTGGCAGTAAAAAATTCTTCAACAACTTACCATATCAAGCAATTCAGAACACTTAAAACATGACGAACCATTTAACTGATGATGATAGATATATAATACTATATCAAATAAAAAGAAAATTTAACTATCTGCATTACAGCCAGGTCATTAAAAAAATTTCCCGATCTATGAATCTCTAGTGGCCTATACGCTCAACAAATTGAAATGATTTTAATGAAATTTAGATATTGTTATTTCAAGATATGTGCTTAACATTGTGATAATTTAAAAGAATTTATTTTTCACAGTTGTGGTTGCAGTGAATATTCCGGAATTTTTGATGGCAACACCGTTTTCCCTGTACAAATAGATCAGCACAATGAAAAACTATAAATGGTGCTAGAATGATACGCATATGATGAAAAACACCGGTTTAAAACATTTGTAAAGAAGAGCATTGTAAAGGACCAATCATAACACAAGAGAAAATGACATTTTCATTGTAAAGAACACATTTTCATTCCTCTATTTCAAATTTTTTTTAAAAAAATCATTTGTTGTTTATTAAATTCTTCAAACACTGTTAAGAGCATTGGATTTGAATAATCACAAGTTTTTAATGTATGCCTCATCCATTTTTTGCTTTTTTTCTAAATTCATTTTGTAATTTCAGTACAACTGTCACAAAACAATACAACTTAACAGTAATTATGGATTAGGGTGACGTAACTTCACACTCCTAACATCTGCACTTTCATCTGATGTAATCCAAATGAATCTCAATGAGACAAATTTTTTGCTTTCATGAATAAGAAGATAAATTAACTTTTACTGCTATATTTTTTCTTGAATTTTGAAAAATTAATTAAAATGTGGGACCTGCCTTCTGCAAAACACCAAGCAGAAGATAATTTTCAAAGTTCTATGATCCTACTGTACTATGTATTAATGAACACAATGGTTAGCTGAATATGACTGGCAAAACAGTAATAGATTGGACCAATTACCTGCAGGAAATTTGTGTTCATAGTGTTTTAAATAGAACTTCAGGTAAAATCAGACGACTTAACAAAATCGTTGAAATAAACAAAAGCCGTTTTACAAAGCACAAAAATGAAGCAGGTTGAATATTGATTGTATATCAAATAAAGTGGCAAGAGTTCTTTCAGAATATTGCAGAAATGCAATATAGCAGGATCTTTGCCAGCTTTCACAGTCGACAGGATAATATATAAATACCATAATTTCTTCCACTTTTATACTGAGAAAATCCTTGAGAAGAGAAGAAATGCATTTACTTATATATATATATATATATATAAACAAATAAATAAAAAAAAAAAAAAAAAAAAAACCCTACGGATGCACTAAGCAATGTGTAGTCACTAAGTTTATTTCAGAGCAGGAAATATACAAATGCAGTAACGTATCTGACTCCAATCTAAAAATTTATTTTTACCCTATGTTTGTAGTAGAGACAAAATATCAATTATAGTAATAAAATAATGTAATTTTTAACAAAAGTGAGTTTAGTTTTCATTATTTTTTAATTTTCAGCACTTTTTTATTCCAGAATTGGTTTTATTTTAAAGAATCTCATTGTATAGTTGAAAGAAACCAGTCCAGGGAATGAGCGGTTTGGTAGAGTGGGTTCTAGCAATTACACTCCTTGTTCAATTCTTTCTGCTTTTCTTCCATCTTTGCACAACACTCTTGATCCATGCCTGTTCCAAACAAATTCATCAACATCACTGCTAGTGAGTGGTGAATCGTTAAAAAGAACTGATTCACTTCAGTGAGAGAATGGTTCCGATCTGATCCCTTAAAGAAGGTTTTGTCCATCTTTAGTTTCCAGTTACAACACAAAGGCAAGCAGTAATGAAGAAGCAAATGCCTTACAAATGTACTACTGCATTAGATATAAAACAACATTAAATACATGTAGTAATGGATTAAATATTTGTTTATAAAATTCTTTACAAATATCTACACATCAAGATAATTCAGATCAAATTAAATTTTTAACCCTCTATCCAGTATATTCTAGGCATATATGGCCTAGAATATTTTTATGACATCTTTAAGAAAGGATATATGCATGCATGTTGAAATATGTGAAAAAAATTAAGGCAATATATTAAAAATACATATACCCAGGTATAAAGTACCAGGGGCAATTTGGCATTAAAATCAAGACAATATCTCTTTCTTGTGGCAATTTTGGAAAATGTGGGCTTTCTCAGCAAAATCCAGTGCTGGTCAAAGGGTTAACCCTCTCGCTGCATACTTTTTTTTTTTTATCAAAATAGGTTCAAAAATTGTGTATTTTTTTATTACAGATTTCAAACCTACATATATTTTAGAGTTAAAATATGCAAAAATTTATTGTAAAAGTGTTTTTTTTTTTTTTTTTTTTTTTCAATATAGAATTAGATTATAGAAAAGGTTGTCAGAATACTTAAATTGAAGAATAATGATATAAAAGGAAAATTCTTTAAATTAATATTGCCTAAATTTTGATTACTTTTTAAAATACAAAGATAAAACATGTATACTAATGAAAATATTTGCATAATGTAATATTTTGCATATCAATTTTGCACTACTGTCGAACGTTTTCAATAGAAATTGAATTTTCAGATTTATCACTATCTTCAGAGGAATCCGAGAAATTCTCATCAGTTTCGCTATAACTACCTTCAATGTACCTGAAATCAGAGTCAGAACTACTAACAGTGTTGGAAATATCATCAGGAATCACTCATGAAATGCTTCCTGCTAGACATCTGAACTCTGAAAAGCATGCGCAAAATGCTATACAGTCAAAAGTCGTTAATTCGGACACCCATAATCCGAAATGATCTATAATCCGGACCTCAAAGCTAAAAACTTTCTGCGCATGCGCCGCGTTGACACAAACTTGAACTTTCGATTATGTCAAATAGAATTTCCAATGCTGGAGCTCTCAAGGGATCTACAAAATGAAAGTATGTTTCGATGTCCGTCAAACAAAAAGTGGAATTGCTGCAAAAAATGGATAAAGACATGAAGGAGGTGACAGAGAGGTTAGTGAAAACGAAAAAAATTTCAATTGACAAGTTAGTCGGCATTCTCGGCACAGCAATTACAGAACTTGAACGGCGGAACTTTGTAACTGAACAAGAAATTATGTCTGTTTATAGAATTAAAGAGAAAGTATTATCACATAAAACGAAGCAACTTAAACAACTTACATTGAAAGAAATGCTTAATAAAGTAAACAAATAAATATTAAGCTTTTTTTTTGTAAATTTTGATACCCTTTAGATTATAATTGTTCTTTATTTCATAAATTACAGTTTCAAATTTTTAATTTTAGAATTTCTGCATGCCATCTTACAAGATTTAAATTGATGATCTATAATCCGGAAAAATCAATAATCCGGAATCGCCGAAGTCCCGACGAGTCTGGATTAACGACTTTTTACTGTATTACGTATTTTTGTATATTTGGCAGAAATGTGGACTTCTAACAGCATCTGTTAGTCAACATCTCAATAAACAATTAAACATCACAGAAAAGCCGACAGGAAATCTTGAACGAGGAAAGAACGTGTTGCACAGTTAAATAAACGACAAAAATTCATCCACGTGGAAATCGCGGGTGCAAAAATTTTGCTACTTTTACGTTGCCCGCGGAAATCACGGGATGCGCAGCGAGAGGGTTAATAAGAAACATTATGCTGAAAAATACTAAGTAGTAGAGAATGAAATTTGCACAGTTTTAAATTTCATTAATTCAAGAAATTTCATTTATTGTTGTGAAACATTTTTCTTAGTAAAGGAAAAATATTGAAAATTTGGAGTTGTAATGAAAAACTGGGAGAGGTGACTACTGTGCCAATTATGTGATAGTGAAACAGTACATCATAATACTCATCTGGAATTACCTCAAGCAAAGATTACAGAGGTTAGGAATAAAGAGTCAAATATTGGAAATTTTAAATTACCAAAAAATAAAATAAAAATAATACTTTTTCAATTATTTAACTTATATATAATTTTTGTGATCAAAGAATATTTGTAAATAGTTTTGAACTCATATGTATGCTGCTCC